TCCACTTTGCTCTCTCAAAAGCCATACCCTCATCCAACACAAGAAGAAGCATATCACTTCGAACTGCCCTAACCCACATCTGTTTGGGCCTTCCTCTCCCTCTCTTCCCTGCCTCTTCTCCACACATCTCAACTCGTCTGACAGGTGCATCACTCGGTCTTCTACGCACATGACCAAACCACCGTAGGCGCGACTCCCTGATAGAGATGCGCAGGTTCAGAACAGTAAATCACTAAGAAATCAAGCTAATCTACAGAGAAATTGAGCTCAAGAACAATCTGCAACTTTATTTCAATATGGTAAACCGTATACAAGTCCCAAAAGAAAGAGATAACACTCGATCTTTCCCAGTCCCAGTCCCAGCATCTAACAGCCTCCTTCCCTCTGCAGGAATAGTTCTATTTATATCCTTCCACAAACGGAAGGTAGTTATTAGTAATACCAGCTAACTAACTAATAACTAACTAGTCTACTTTGACCTTCTAGAATACACTTGCCCAAAGTATTTATTCTTATCACGTAGACTAGCTGGGTACTTATCACTCCCGCATCTTGTCTTCAATAGGTATTACTCCCACCTTTTGTCTGATTGTCTCATTCCTCACGTGATCCTTCTTAGTATGCCCACATGATAGAGACCTCCAGGTAAACAGTAAAGTTACAAAGAAATTAACAAGAACAATCAGAGAATTTTATTGAAGATAAATAGAATCTATAACAACGATAGAGAGAGAGTATGGCCGAAGCCCCCAATGAGCCGAAGCCCCCCAAAGGAAAGAGATAAATCGATCCTCCCAAGCCCCAGTCTGAAATGTCTAAAACAGCCTGCCTACTAACTCCCCTTTTCATCTATTTATACTACAATACTACAAATACCCTTATTACAACTATACCCTTATTATTATTACTCTTACTTCTATTATTAGTCTGATAGGTAGGTCCCTATCAATACTCCCCCCTAAACATCCACCTTGCCCTCAAGGTGGGCGGAAGGAGAAAACCAAAATCTTCTCCTCCTTCTTCCTTGCACCTCTTCCTTCCCAATATCTTTCAAATTTCAGGATCCTGAACTCCATGACTTGAATCTTCCTTCTCATTGCTTCTTGCAAAAACATCATTAGCTCCTCTTCCTTCTTGCAAAAACATCATTAGTTCTGTGTCTTTGATCTAGCTGGTACTGATCTTCACCCATCATCCCGTGCTCACTGTTCCAATTGCTAATAGCTCTTGCTACAGGATATAACTCAAACCCTTGAGTTTCAGTTGCTTCACTCCTTGATATTGCATCATTCACAGCAGCCAACTGAAACTGGTAGTCACCAACTCCACCCCCATCTGGAACAATTAAACAGACCACTGGCATTTCTCTAACCTTTACCATATCACTCTCAGTCAATCCTACTCCCAACCCCTTTCTAATAGAACAACTCAGAGATGAAACTCTTGACATACATTGATCACTGCTCACCATCACATAGCAATATCCACCCTCTTGGTATGCATTTTTACTACTCCAACCGCCTGAGTAATAAGAAGGAGCCTTCTCTTTCCGAAAATTGGACCAAGAATTCAAGCCAGAAGACAAAGCATTTGGATTCAATTTCAAGACAGCATAGGTAACAGTTTCATTTGTTTCAGTCTTCTTCCAGCCTTCCATATCAGAAATTAATCCATTAATATTCTGCAGCTCCTCATAGTTTCTATCTTTTGAGACTAGTACAGTATTGGCTGCAACATCTTTTTTGTTCGTATCAACTTTGTTCTCTTTTAATTCCTTACCTACTTCTTCAATCAAGACATCCTTTGGAGATGAGTTTAAATCTGAATCCACATTTTCCATTCCTTCTGAATTTTCTTGTGGATTGAGACAAGTTGATGCAGGTCTGGCAGTAACAGTCCCGGATTGCGAACTGGAAACTTCACATCTGGATTGCTTCTTAAGTAAACTGGTAGTAGCAATTGAATCCTGCGAACTGAAGGATGATGTTGGTGATGACTTTTGCGAACTGTAGGAAGTTCTTGTTGATCTCGATGACTCCTGTCTTGGTGTCTTCCCTGTCTTCTGCCGGTGTCTAGGTGGAAAATCCTTAATCAAATCTTCTTTTAGAGCCTGCCAACTATCTTCTCTCTTTTGAAAATCCCACCATTGAAACCAGCCATCTGCGGCTTCCCCCATTGCCTTTGCTGCGACATCCACCTTAAATCTTTCTGCAATAGCTTGGACTCGAAAATATCTTTCCATTCTCTCTATCCATTCGTACGCTTCATGCTCGTAGAATAGAGGTAATTCCTCCTTCTTTGAACTTGCTGACTTCTGAGAAACTGATTTAGACGAAGAATGCAAACGGATGTTCGTTGAGGAAATCTGCAAACTCTGATGGGAAGAGCGATGATAAGAGTGATGCGAAGAGGTATGCTCAGAGCGATGGGAAGAGCTCCGTGGAGAATGATGTGAAAAATTCTGGGCCTGGTGAGAGACTGTTCGCGATTGCGACTTGTGAGAAGAAGTTCGCGATTTGGACTGCAATTCCGTCGGTGATAGCGGCTCATACCTGGTGTTCCTCAATCGATCTCCAGATGTTCTGCAATGCCTTCGCTCTTCTGATTTTTCTGGACTCGATGACGATCGCGTGTGACGATGATGAGAGTCGCGATGCGACCTGGAAGAAGTGTGCGATCGATTCTTCGAATGTTCTTTCTTCTGGTTCTTAATCTCCGCGAAGCCAGACTTCATCTTCGCTATTAATTCCTCGAACTTCGCCTTTGATTCCTCCTGATATCTGTCAAATTTCTGCTCGATTTCAGTCATTCGCCCCTTCATTTTTTTCTCGTGCTTTCTTTCTATCTGCGTTATACGACCTTCCATCTTCGTTCGAATCTGTCTCATCCAGCTATCGACTCGCTCTGATACCAATTGATAGAGACCTCCAGGTAAACAGTAAAGTTACAAAGAAATTAACAACAATCAGAGAATTTTATTGAAGATAAACAGAATCTATAACAACGATAGAGAGAGAGAGAGTATGGCCGAAGCCCCCAATGAGCCGAAGCCCCCCAAAGGAAAGAGATAAATCGATCCTCCCAAGTCCCAGTCTGAAACGTCTAAAATAGCCTGCCTACTAACTCCCCTTTTCATCTATTTATACTACAATACTACAAATACCCTTATTACAACTATACCCTTATTATTATTCTTACTTCTATTATTAGTCTGATAGGTAGGTCCCTATCACCACACATCCAACGCAGCATGCGCATCTCTGCCACACTCATCTTTTGAATGTGACATTGTTTCACCGCCCAACACTCTATGCCATACAGTAATGCAGACCTAATTGATGTCCTATAAAATTTACCCTTCAGTCCAGTCGGCATACCTTTATCGCATAGAAATCCTGACGCACTCTTCCACTTTATCCACCATGTTCTGATTCTATGGGATACATCTCCATCTAACTCACCGTCCCTCTGAATTATGGAGCCCAAGTAACGGAACATATCGCTGACCGGTACCTCCTTACCATCTAGAGTGATTCCGCTCTTACCACTGCTTCTACCTTCACCAAACTTGCACTCCATGTACTCTGTCTTGCTCCGACTTAGTCTGAAACCTATGTTGTAAAAACCGGACCGGAGAGCGACCCGGCTTAACGACTGGGTCCGGGTCAACCCGGACCCGGCGGGTCAACCCGGTCAATGCCGGAAACCCCGGTCAACCCTGACGACAAAATTATTAGTCTAAAACATACATTTCCAACAAAATGGAAAATATATTCAAAATTAGATGGATGACAAACACAAATATAACACATTAAAAAAATAAAAAATATTTTTTCATAAGGTATATGCACTTATATTAATTAATTAATAGTTAATAGTATGAATAGAATTAGTACTACGTATTTATTACGGTTTTATTACAATTATTAATTACTAATTACAATCTTTAAAAACATTAATTAATCATGATAAAAGGTTGGAGCACCATTCTGGTTAAAAAGACGAGAGGGGCTGGAGAGATTTATTAATTCCAAACTAATAAATACTTAATGATGCTTTACCCAAAATAACTTAGACAGAAATGATAAATAGAACAAAAGTGCAACTTTAACAAACACGTCAAAGCAGTCCCTTGGTATGGAGATCAAACTCTCAGCCTGCGCACGCGGGATCGAATCCCTGTAGATGAGTTTTGTGTCTAATTCCGATTTTCCTCTGAAATCCAGGTTTAATCCGTTCCAGATACGGTTCGGGTCACCCAGGTCACCGGGTAATGCCGGGTTCGGAGAGATTTGCGGTTCACTAGTCTACCGGACCGGATTCGGCTCCGGGTCGGCCGGTTCCGGGTCGACCCGGCTGGTCCCGTTCGGGTCTTACAACATAGTCTGAAGCTCTTGTTCTCCAATGTTTGTCGCCATACTTCCAACTTTGCTTTAAGACCTGATTGCGTCTCATCAATCAATACAATATCGTCGGCAAACATCATGCACAACGGTATTTTGTCTTGAATTGACTGGGGTAATGATGATGATGAAGAAAAATGAATTGAAAAAATCTAGTCTTGCCATTTTGCCACGTTTATCGCGCAGTACTTTTTATCGCGTGACACACATTAAGAAACACTGTAGAATGACCACTTACCCAAAGTCTAGTTATAAACGTCTTGTTGTTCTCAATACAACTACAAAAGTATTTATGCAGGGAACTTCACACTTTAAGGATTCTTATAAAGTGACCAACATGCACGTATTCAACTTTAGTCATACTACATATATCCCTTTTTGTTCCCCTTAGAATACACTGAAGGTTTTTTTGTGAGAGTAATGCCAGTTATTATTGGACAACTTTAGCCGTACTACGTACATCCCTTTTTGAGCAATTTTAATTCCTGAAATTGTCAGTTATTTTTAGACAACTTTTTTTTGGCTAAAAACTACTGTTGTATTGGGATGGATAGAAGCGTAGAGTCATATATTTTTATTTACTTCAATCATGTGCAGATTAGTCTCGGGTCACAATACTACTTCTATATGGAGACACAGACTTCTCTAGCAGTTCCAGATGAAGACAATTGCATGCTTGTCTATAGTTCAAGTCAGTGCCCAGAATCTGCACAAAGCGTGATTGCCAGCTGCTTGGGGGTTCCTGAGCATAATATCCGGGTGATTACAAGAAGGGTTGGAGGAGGCTTTGGTGGCAAGGCAGTTAGAGCTATGCCTGTGAGTTTGAAAACATCATTCACATTAGCAATTTCTTTTACATCTTGATTTTTGAAAAGGAAAAAAAACTTGCTACAAGTTATATTCTATTTTTTTCTCACATTGTTCTTTGTTTATACCCAAAAAATTGTTTATACTTTCTAGGAAAAACTGTCAAATAAGTCCTCATACTTTTATGAAAAAGTCAATTAAGTCCTTGTACTTCAAAATGAATCAATTAAGTCCATGAAGTGTTAAAAGTTAACCAAATATGCTATTTGGCCGGTAACTAGCCGGTAACCCGGTTTCACGCATACCTGGCTGTCCAACTAGCCCTTTTTTACTGTTTTTCTTTTCTAATTTTCTTTTCTTTTTTCCTTTTCTCTTTTCCCCTTCTTTTTCGCTCTCTCTTCTTTCTCCTGCGAGTCCACAGCTCCTCTCCCTGCAAGTCTGCATCTTCTTTGTTTCTCTCTTCCTTTTCTCTTTCTTTTTTATAATATCCACCCTACACCTTCTATTGTCATCAGGAGACCCGGTATGGAGACTAGCGTTCTGCTCTCATGATATGGGGTGGAGCCGTGGAGGATGAGCTTGTTAGAGGCGATGGATGAAGGACGAGGTGTTCTCTGGCGTGTTCTTGCGAAATGAGGCGGCGGTGACGAACTAAAGACGCGCTTAATGAAACGCGCTTAAAGTCTGGTGCCGTCGATGGTCCGTCGCGTCGGCGGCTTGGCTTGCCGGAGAAGCGCAGCAAGCATCGTCGTCCTAGATTTTAGTTCTGCACACCACGCCTCGTCTGCAACTTTTCCGCCAAGTAACCGTCGGGAGAGGCTTTGTGAGAATCTGCTTCAATTTGGCCGCCATTACCAAGCAAGGAGAAATGTCGTCGAGCAGTTTGGGAGAATGAAAGAGAATAAATGAAAAAAGAAAGAAAGTGAACAGTAGAAAAAGAAGAATAAAAATAGAAAACAATAAAATAAAAGCCACCTGGACATCCACGTAGACAGGTAACCGAGTTTACCTGCCGGGGACCTATGAAATAGCTATTTTGGAGGGTTTTTAACACTTCGAGGACTTGATTGACTCATTTTAAAGTATAAGGACTCAATTGACTTTTTCATAAAAGTACAAGGACTTATTTGACAGTTTTCCCTACTTTCTAATTTATTTTCAAGACATCAATAGACTTTTTCCCATATTAGATCACTTTATTTTTTACATACATGTAGATTTTGTAAATCGTTATATAATATAAATAAAATATGTTTGGTCTTTTGATATACACTAGGTTTCAAGCCCGTGCGATGCACGGGCAGTATGTAATTTAGTTAATTTGAAATTTGATTTCTTTCGGATCATATGTAATGTGATTTAAAAGAAAAATAAATTTAGTCTAATATAGAGCCTGTTTGATAATACTGCAATAAATAGAATTGACTTATTTTATTGAAATTGATTGAATTTTGGCTGAATGGGTGAAATCTCCTGAATCATAAAAAAATGTGTAAAATATATTCCATTTGTGAAGCTAAGAAAAGATTATATGAAAAATAGTTAAATTGATCTTCTACATAAGCATCACAAGTATATATAATTGTTATAAACCCGATTTTAAAGAATTCATAATCTCACGTCCTCTAAATTACTCCCTCCGTTTCAGTTTCTTTGACACACTTTCCTTTTTTGGAAGTGTCAAAATGTTTGCCACACTTCTCATTTCGTAAACAAAAAAGTGTCAAACAGTGTTAAACAATGTCAAACAGTGTCCAAAGAGTGTCCAAATAATGTTCAAACAGTAAAATTTACCCCTTAGTAAATAAATTCCTTAAATGTTGACTTGTCAAACTATGTCAAAGACACTGAAACGGAGGGAGTACTTTATTATGCACCTCAAGTTTTTTCTTCTACTATTCCTCATTCAACTTGATGTGAAATACTGAGTACATACTTTTAACTTTTAATAATAAGATGTTACATTTTACTCATTATTTCGTTACATTGAAAACAATTTTTAAATGTTATGAACATCTAAATTACTTTATTGAGCATTTGAAAAACAGAAATTGTCCTAAATAGGAGTAAAAACGTTTTGAAATTCCAAAACAGGAGTATCATGTTTTTTATTCCCTGAATAGGAGTAAATTTTTGCCAAGTTTGACATTACAAGGCTTTTAAGCATGGCATTTTCTTCCAAACTTGGTAGATTACTCCTATTCAAGGAATAAAAAAACATGATACTCCTATTTTGGAATTTCAAAACGTTTTTACTCCTATTTAGGGAATTCTCTCTTTGAAAAAAAATACTTTTCTAGTATTTCTCATTCAACTTGATATTAGATACACATTTTAAAATTTTAATTGTGAGATCTTACATTTTACTCATTAATAAGGATATTTTAATTGAATTAAATTTTAGGTTTTATTTGGTATGAATTAAAATGGTCTGGTGGATGTTTGTTTTACATTTTATGTGACTTATTATTATTACTCCCTCCGTCCCAAAATTAACTTCTCACTTTCCTTTTTGGGCAGTCCCAAAATTAACTTCACACTTCAAAACTTTTCTTATTTGGCAAATAATCTACATAAAAAAGTGTCAAACAGTATCAAACAGTGCCAAACGGTGTTTAAACAGTGCAAAACAGTGCACTCCACAATAAAGTCAAATTTATTTTCTTAATCTGTGTGAAGTCAAACTGTGAACTTAATTATGGGACGGAGGGAGTATTATTGTTATTATTGTACATGGGCTGAGCCTGGATGATAGTATTGCACCACCATTCAGTTTAAAGAACGTTTTTAGTCTTTTGAAGGACTTGATAATATGTCCATACATATGTGCACGTGTGCCATCATGGTTCAAAAATACAAATTTTGAAACTAAATATGTTCACGAATAAAATTATTTCTTAAGTTTGACAAAAAAAAAAGCTAAGAAAAATTTCCAACTTCAATTAAATAACCATCATTCATTTGGTTAGAAATCTTTTACAATGTGTTTTAAAACATTGTGAATAGCTTATGTTCACAACAAAAGTTCATTTGGAAATACGTTTTGTAGAAATATAGTCATACTTCATATGTAGGAATATAAGTTAGTCATAAATATTGAACGCAATAAATTATGTGGATTTCCACGGATTTCGTTTCCATATCAATATGTAATCAAAAATAGAATCTAGCTAATAAAAATAGAAGGTATAAAAATAACTAAATAATTAATATATATAGACATGGCAGGATTATGTGGCGCTTTGTATGCTCTTAAAAAGTTCCTCTTTTATATATATATATATATATTGATTTACAAGTGTATCATAAAAAAATATATAAATTCGATGCTTTTAAAATGGGGAATAAATTCCACTTTTGGTTCTATGTGTATTATACCAATCCCACATTCGCTTCATGTCTTTGACCTTGCTTACTTTTTGTACATGCTATTGTTCCTTGCCTACATGTCGTCCTTCAAGAGAAATTTCTTCTGCTTAAAATCGCATAAGAGGTGCTAAAAATTTGGACGGAAGGACTACAGGTGGGCAAGAAACAATAGCCATATAACCAAATGGGGACAAAGCAAAAAACACTGACCTAATGTGGGATTAGTATAATACTCGTAGAACCAAAAGTGAATGTAATTTTTTAAAATACATCTTCAGACTAATCTAACAAGATCCCACATGATAATTACTCAATAAGTAAATAAATCAATATGAGAAAAGTTCACCAATTTTTACCAATAAAAGGTCATGGACTGAAATAGTAGACTGGGAGAGGGTGAATTTTTCATCATCAATGCCTGTTGTTATAGGTTTCCACAGCATGTGCACTTGCTGCTCACAAATTGAACCGCCCCGTCAGGACATACCTGGATCGGAAGACTGACATGATCATGGCAGGGGGAAGGCATCCCATGAAAGTAACATACACTGTTGGATTTATGTCCAGTGGAAAGATCACGGCCTTACATCTCAACATTCTAATCAATGCGGGGATAACAACAGACATAAGTCCCGTCATACCAATGAACATGATAGGGGCAATTAAGAAATACGATTGGGGTGCCCTCTCTTTTGACGTTAAGGTGTGCAAGACGAACCATTTTAGCAAGTCAGCGATGAGGGGGCCCGGTGAGGTACAAGGAAGTTTTATTGCTGAAGCTGTAATGGAACATGTGGCAGCTGTACTCTCAATGAACGTGGATTCTATCAGAACCAAAAACCTTCACACTTTTGAAAGCCTTAATTTATTCTACGGGCATAGTGTGGGTGCTTTAGTGGACTACACTTTGCCAAACATTATGGAGAGATTGAGCAGATCTTCAAACTTCTTAGAAAGAAGTGAGATGATTGAGCGATTCAACCAGGAAAATGCATGGAAGAAAAGGGGCATTTCTAGGGTCCCAGTTGTGATTCACGTTACACACAGACCAACTCCAGCAAAAGTGAGCATTTTGCGTGATGGGTCAGTGGTGGTTGAGGTTGGTGGGATTGAATTGGGACAAGGGCTGTGGACAAAGGTAAAACAGATGGCTGCTTACGGACTTGGTTTGACTCATTGTGATCACACAGATGTGCTTGTGGATAAGATACGGGTTGTACAGTCAGACACTTTAAGCTTGGTACAAGGCGGTTTTACTGCGGGAAGCACCACATCAGAATCAAGCTGTGAAGCTGTAAGGCTTTGTTGCAACGTTTTGGTTGAAAGGCTGAACCCGGTGAAGGAAAAGTTGCAGGAACAACTAGGGTCAGTTGATTGGACTACACTTATTCTCCAGGTTGCAACTTTTTTGACCGCCTAAAACTTGTTACCCCGTAAATTGTGGGAATGGTAGCAGGGCAGGTTATAGTAGGTACCCGACCACTGCGAACCCTTGTTGGGGGATTTTGGCATGTTGTAATCGGGTGTGGGAAGAGTTCAGGTATAGATAGGAAAACCTGTTCTCGGTTTGTGTATGGGTCGCGTTATAGTGCATTACCTGAGCCCAAAATGTATAAATATCGTCATTTTTGGTAAATATTGGGGGTGTTTGCTAAACCCCCTATCAGCCATTTTTTGGCCTTTGACCAGCTATATTGAACAGCCAAAAAATTAAAAAAGAATTTTGAGTCTAATTTTTCAAAAGTCTAACTTTTCTAGTTGTATCGGGATTTTTAACCTCTAATTTTACTTTTCTAATACTCCGTATAACTTTTCTATACAATAATTATAGTTAATAATAAATATATCAATTTAAAAATAGGAAGAAAAAATAATTTTATGGTTTATGTCACATTGACATTAGTATTATTTTAAAAACAATAAAACTAAGAATAAATAAAATAGTAGTATAGCATTGTAGTTATACACATACACACTTGTATATTAAAATGATGAAGGGGAGTCTTGTTGCACCAGTATGGTGTTGCTGTGTGACAGAGAGGTCACAGGTTCAAGTTTGGGGAGTCTCCTCTTGTCAAAATGTAAAGGGGAATCTTGTCCCCCATACACAGTTGTGGTAGGACCCTTCCCTGGACCCTTGCTTTGTGGGGACGCCAATGTGCACCGGGCTGCCCTTTATTTAAATGATAATAGTACAATTAAAAAAATAGTGGTAAGTGTAGTTTAAATCCTATATCTAAATGTGTCTGCAAAAATATTAAAAATGGTCAAACATATAAGTTTATATATTTGTATTACCAGCTAATTGGAAAGAGCTAACTTACCAAATGTGTTACTTCAAAAAGCTAATGATATCGCTTGTCAAAACCGCCAACAGAAAAATCCAACAGTGTATCGCTTGTCAATCAGCCGATAGGATCTAGGATTACAGGCAATGCCATACACATATTAGTGTATATGTATTTAGTTGTAAGGGTACTCAATAATACATATTAGTATATCATACTATCAAAATTTATAAACAGTTTATTTTTTTGTTTGGACTCCCGTACCCCTCGTGGTAATGTAAAATGGGGTTGGAGTGGGTCACGATATAAATCTGTTGGTAATGTAAGAGGCTGGGTTTGAGTTTTGCTATGAGCGAAGTTCCTGACCCCGCTGAATCTCTGATTAAACGTGGTGTAGCTCACCCAAAAAGATGATCAAGATGTGAGAATTACCTCACCCCCATACCTTGGATGGAAAATTACCATTAGACAACCGATTTGGGATATGGTATACCCGTCCCAAACTAGTATGTGACTAGTATTTCTTTTTGCTCATTACAGGCACATGATGCAGCTGTGAACTTGGGGGTGAATTCATACTATGTTCCGGACTACAATTCCATGAGTTATTTGAATTACGGGGCGGCTGTTAGTGAGGTTATCTCAGTGCCCCCTACTACTAAGTTTGTTTTGGTGTACTGAGGAATGCTCATTCTCATAGTTTTATGTGGGATGGTAGGAATACATTAGAAATCCGGATGCCTACTTGCAATCAGGAATTTAAAGCATAACTACATGTGTTGGCAGTGCAGGTAGAAATAGATGTTCTGACGGGAGAATCCAGAATTATGCGAACAGATATAATATATGATTGTGGACAGAGCTTAAACCCTGCTGTTGATTTGGGACAGGTTACACTCCTCACATTGGATCTCTGTCATTTTTCATTTTCATTTACCCCAGTGCCGCAAAGGCTCCCACCTACGGTGAGGTAAGGGGGGGTCGGATGTACGCAGTCTTACCCCTGTACTAAAGCACAGAGAGACTGTTTCCGGATGACCCATAGTGAAAATCGCGTCCAAAATTGCATGGACTGATTGCTGCTTCATAACAAAGAAGCGCAGACAGTTTAGTGAGCCATTTTGCTTTATTCTATCATATTCTCAAGCCAAAAAATACTGAATCTTTGGCTCCATTGCAAATGATGGAATAACATTGGATCTCTGTGCATTGCCAAATTTATCTGTACCTCATTCATATTTTCAGGAGACTATTATGCTTGTCTTATCCTGTAATACTCCTAGATTATTGCAATTAAGGTGGAGGGCAAGTCGTTTTTTAGATCCCCCAAAGGAATTCTCAAGATGTACGGCATACCTGACAGATTTAAATGTGCCGATAGCAGTGACGTTTATTAGTACTGAATTTGAATTTCAGTATATGGGGTTGGGGTCCTGTTAAAATTTGGATAAAAAACTGTTGGGGGTGGGGGGAGTAGTGCAAAAGGATCATCAAGGGGGATTGGGTAATAGTTGGAGTGGGTATAATGAAAATAGGCATAATCCTTGTGAATTTAGCATTCAATACGCAGAGCTTCATTTGTTGCAGATTGAAGGAGCATTTGTGCAAGGAGTGGGGTTTTTCATGCTCGAAGAATATGTATCAAACAAGGAGGGGTTGGTGGTTTCTGATGGAACTTGGACATATAAGATCCCAACCATTGACTCTATCCCGCAACAATTCTATGTTGATGTACTCAACAGTGGGCATCACCAGAATCGTGTCCTCTCATCTAAAGGTTCGTTCGTTCCTCTTCCTTCATTAAATGGGGTAGGTTGTTTCTTGCCTGTGTGATGCATGGATAAATGCATGTTTGCAATACAGCCTCAGGAGAGCCACCACTTCTTCTGGCAGCTTCAGTCCACTGTGCAACAAGAGCAGCAATCAAGGCGGCCAGGAAACAGGTCAAAGCTTGGGGCAAGAAGCTACACGACGATGATTACGGCCTTGACTCTCACTTCCATTTGGAGGTTCCTGCCGTCATGCCAGTCGTCAAGACACATTGTGGCTTGGATTACGCTGAGAAGTTCCTCCAATTTTTGCTTGCCCAAAAGCTGTAGTCATAAAAACCCTGGCCGCCAGTCTTATTCATCCATCTGTAACTATGCATAGTTATAGATCTATATATAATGAGTAAAATGCAGAAATGGTCCTTAAACTATCATCACCATATCGTTTTGGTCCTTCAACTACTAAATATATCATTTTAGTCCTTATTCTATCTAATGCATTTTAATTCGGTCCTTCCGTTACTTTTGGCAGTTTACAATTCACGGTGGTCAAACTTTCACTATTTATAAATTGTAATAAGACACATGCTTAACTAAATAATTCCCTTTTTGCCAAAAAACTAAATAATTCCCTTATTGATAAATATTAACCTTATTCAAGCATATTTTTAAATATTAATATGTTGCCCTTACTCAACAACAAATTACTCAAGCATATTACGTAGTATTAAATACTACTCCATATGTATTAAAATGTTTTTGTTATACTACGTATGAATACTCCGCTGAGTAATAATTTTAATAATAATAATAAATGTTATGTTATTATTAATAATAATAATAATAATAATAATAATATAACTCAGAATGACTACAATCCTTATTCTTTATCAAATTTGATTCCGGTTTTTGCGACTTTGTAAAATGACGTGCACTTTGTCGTGGTGTGCACTCAAAATAATAATACAATACAACACTTATACGGAGTACATAGTATAGCGTAGTAAGGTTCGTATCCGCAGGAAAAGGAATACTTTTCTTTTTATAACTAGTAACAAGGGGGGTTTTAGATTTGTTATTGAAGAACTTTAAAAATATTTAAACACTAAGATGAATGACTTGTGTGGTTTAATTAATGAGAAAAAGACTTGGTTTTGCATTTATCCACTTAATGAAATGTTTGTCGATCCCGGTTATATCTTTAACTATCTTCCTCTCGAATACTCAATCGATGAGTATATCCAATTCATCGAGGGTAGTTATTAATAACGAGACGCGTTCATTAATAAAACTTACTACCGAGTTAATATGGAACACGCGCCATATATTAATCCGATAATAGCAATAAAATCAAGAAGAAAACGATTGAGATTGATAACCTCAACACAAGCGGTTTATTGGTTTAATCAATATAATTAATTCCCTTTGGTTTATTAACCATGAGACACATGCATTAATAACCCAAGTTTACTACCGTGAAACGACCGAACGATTAACAAGTGTATTCGTCGATCGATTCAAGTAATAATTAATATATGAAACAAAACTAGTTGATTCTTTAAGTAATGCTCAAAATATTAATATGAAATATGAATAAGAATTAATTAATATTCAAGGAAGAAGATTAAAGAAAATAACTCACAACTTACAATTCATTAAGCTTCAAAGTAGCAAAACCAAGATGGAAGAGTTTAGCTCCTCATTTGGAGACTAAACATACTAGAAAATACTAGAAAATATAAAGGTAATACTAGCTGGTTGCAAGGTTACCGTGCCTAGTGGGAGGTCTCGAGTTCGAATCCCGCTAGGCACACAAGGGTTTGAAACTCAATGGAGTGAGTTTCAGCCCTGATTACTCCAGGCTCCCCCCAGCCCCCCTCCCCCAGAGCCCCCCTGGAGTAAAAAAATAAAAAAAAAAATAAAGGAAATACTTGTCTGAATTGAGATTAGAAGTATATGTGATTTGATAATTTTATTGGGAAGGAAATGAGTGTATTTGTAGGCTTTTGGGAGCTGTAGGGTCTAATACCCGACCGGGTATATAGGATACCCGACCGGGCATGTTAGGAAATTGCCCAGAAAGTCACTTTTCTGGGCATACTCGATCGGGTATGTCGGCATACTCGATCGGGTATTTCGGCATACCCGATCGGGTATGTGACAAATCTTCACGAAAATTTGCTCACACGATCATTTGTTCCCGGATTTGATTTGGACAATCGAATAAATTAAAGCAAATACCCAATCGGGTATAGGCAATACCCGACCGGGTACATGAATAATTTTTCCAAATCGAAATCTTTCTTGCCTCCTTTCACTTTCCTTGATCTTTTAAGGTCCAATCTTGATTCTTTGGATGATCTTTGACCTGTTTAGCTCAGAAAAATCCTAATCTAAACAAATTACAAATAAAAAACGAAAATAATTAAAGTATTACACCAAATGTGTGTAATTTCAACAACTAGAACTAATAAAAACTAGTTAAAAATACAAATATACAATCGAAAATTACAAGAATACATAAAACTTTTAATTTAGTTTCTGAATATGTAATTTTTTTTCTAAAAAAAATTTTGAGTGCCGATAAGGATTTGTGGACAAGGATCTGTTTGCTTTATAATCGTTCAAACATCGTGAAATAGTCAGAATTATCATCTACAAGTGAAAAGTTGAAAATAAAAATGAATCCCGAATTTAAAACATAATTAAAGTAATTCATTAATACATATAGCTTAAGATTTTAGATCAGTTAACAAACCAACATTCACAAAGATGAAATACAAGTAATTAAAGAATTAGTTCTTCAAAAAACACTTCTGCTAACAAGAATTAATTGTTAATGGAAGTACTTCATTTTCTTCAAAATTTACAAAATAATTTTAGCTAGGAGGAGGATATAACGCAAGTGTTGCCAGATTCTAGCTAGGAGCATGGTGCTGTTTTAGGAATATGTTGCAATTGAAGGAATATGTTGCAATTGTAATTTAAATGAAATATGGGTCTTACTAAATATAATAAACATGTAAAGTTTGAACACCGTAAACTTTAAACGGCCAAAAGTAACGGAAGGACCAAATTAAAATGCATTATATAGAATAAGGACTAAAATGATAGATTTAGTAGTTGAAGGACCAAAACGATATGGTGATAATAGTTTAAGGACCATTTATGCATTTTACTCATATATAATTATTTACTTGCTCAAGTCTATTTCCAAAAGTAAAATTAGTTACCTTAAACTGGAGTTCAACCAATCAAGCAAGTTTAGTTGTTAAAATTGAACTAACAAAGTAATCGATCAATCATGACAACCAATCGATTCGTCTAACACATAAAATTCTTCATGCATGCTCCTCATTCAATTTAGGGAAAAGGGGCAAAATCACCCCTCATAACTAAAGAGCATCCATGCCCTTAAACTTTTCATTTGTTCAAAAATCTTTAAAATCCCTCAAAAGAGGACAATCACCCCCTTTTTAACGTGAACCAGTATAACTGAGTGAGCAAGCGTTAAACATGGCTCCTTTGACTTTTCAATGGAATATATTTTAAATGTATTTATTTTTTTTGTAAATGAGCTGAAATATATAAAATACAAATAAAACAGTTATATAACTAAGTATCGTTAATATACATACTCCATCCGTCTCATTGGACTTTGCCCATTTTTCCCTTTTTGCTGTCCCAAATAATTTTTCCACTTTCTCATAAAAGTAACTATTTTGTGGTTCTGCTCATTTCTCTGTCATTTGTACAAATTTCAACCACACAATTTTTACTATTCTTATTTCTCGCCTAACTCAAGGAGTGCGAAGTCCATTGAGACGGATGTTCCAACACTTTAATACTTCACAATTTTACAGTGTGGGACTTCAACAAGTATCTAATAAAAAACAATAATGTAGTGAAATAATGATTATACAAAAAAGTTATGGAAAAAAATCATTAATAATACTCTTTAAAATGTGGTGGACAATATTACTATTACGTACTTAATAACTATCAGTAACTATAATTGTGTTCAAATTTACTAATTACATGTAAGTTAGTATGATGTAACTTTGAACGTAATTATATTCGCTAATAGTTATTAAATACTCCATAACTTGAACGGAGTAATATTTTTGTCCATAACTTTTTCATTAATAATATTTAATGAAAACCCCCAAAAGTTATTTAACAGTTAGAAAAGAATTACTCCATATTTAATCACATGTCAATTTTTTCTTATATTTTGATATAAATATTAAGAAATATGAGTAAACTGTATTTTCTGTTGCATATTTTTTACCTTATGTACCACACAAAGCCTGTTTGGTAATATATGATTTTGAGTTTCAACTTATCTGTCTTTTTTTGTCAAACTATTTTAAATCAGCTGTTTTAGTATTTTTAGTTGAATTGCATAATAATCAAAATAAGTGTGTGTGAATCTGGTAAAATTGACTCAAATTTTTGAAAGCCAACTATTTTAGTCTTTTCATCTAACTTTTCTTTTAGGGAAAACTGTCAAATAGGTTCTCAAACTTTCATAAAAAAGTCAATTAAGTCCTTCTATAGGATGTTCTGTCCGGCCGTCGCGATTTGGGGCGGTTCCCGATGGATTTTTTTGATGAATTTTTTTAGCATCTTATTCATCAAGTCTAGTTTACTCATATCAAATTTCAGCTAAAAATTCAATCGGGAACACATTCAAATAGGGGTGGGATCAGGATGATCCCGATCCCGATTGCCCATATCCCGATCCCGTCCCGATCCCGATTCAAACTAAAAGAGAATCCCGTATCCCGTCCCGATTAAGTCGGGATCCCAACAATAAAATCCCGATTAAGTCGGGATCCCGATCGGGAATCCCGCTTAATCCCGCTAAATCCCGAAAATGAAGTATTAAACATAAAATTATGTAATTTCTTTAGTTAAACACTAACTTAAATATTTAGTGGTTTCAAGATTATCCTTTGTTCATTGTTATACCATATTTATCATCTACTTATTAAATTTATTGTAATAATTATCATCTCAAATTCACACTAGTACATACGTTTAGAATAATTTTTATTTGTAACTTCAATTAATTAATAGTATAATTTTTGAATAATCTATCAATGCTTAGTGAAACTTACTTCAAACAATATATAAAAGTCACTAAAAGAAGGATGTGTAACATACATATATTATTCAAATTCAAATTTAAGTAAACTCATTGAGAAACTTTGTGACCAATGAATATAATGTATAAATACATATTATGATTATTTACTAAAGAAAGAAATATTAGTCTCGATCATGATTTTTTAAAGAGTTCATCATAACCGCAAAATTTGTAATATTGTTGTGAATTATATTGTCGGGATCAAGAATAATCTCTATATAGTTAGGATCCCGAATATTCATTATCGGAAAAATGCCAAAAAGTTGTAGAAGTTTGATATTGTAAGATACTCTTACTAAAAGATTAATCTATGGAAGGAATAAGTAATTAAAAAAGATATGCAAATACTTAGATACATATTCATTTTGTATAAATGTATATTCATTTTTATAT